TATTTAATTTATTACTGAACATCACAGTTTTTTAACAACAAGATGTATAATCTTTTACAATTATATGTAATTTAAAGGGTTTTTACCCATGTATTTTGGTGGCTCAGGATTTTAACCTAGCAATTTTAAAATTTAAACCTGATGATGGACTGTTTAGTCCGAAAACGTTGGTTTTTTTGATGTAGCCCTTTTAAGGGTTTTTTTTAAATAAATATACCCACTTACGAAGACTAACCTCTTTTTTGTGATACGTGGTATACAGCTAGCTACAGGAATTATTTTTCTTGTGGATTTTATTTATGAGTTATCCTTTTTCATGTAAACACATTGAGGAATTAGCTACTAAAATAGCAAGTCAGTTTAATATGAACTCATGTTCTGTTGAAAATGAGTTGGTGCAGATTATATCAGATATACATCTCAAAGCTACAGTATCTGATACAAATTTTTGGCGTTTTATATCTGAAGATAAATATCCGAATGTAAGGCAAATCGCCCTTCAACTGACGGCATTTTTTGGTTCAACATACTTGTGTGAGTCTGCATTTTCTGAAATGAAGATAATTAAGTCAAAATATCGCAATCGACTAACCAAAGAACATATGACATCATGCTTGCGATTAGCACTCAGTCGTTACGTACCATCTTATGAACAGTATGCTGAGGACATGCAGTGCCACGCTTCAACATCCAAAGCCACTCCTTAGTTAAGTTTAACACCATATGTAACTCTTTTGTGTTGTGACAACAAATAAACTCACATTTGTGACTTCAATAAACCTTGACTAAAATAATGTACCTATATTGTGCAGAAAGCTAATATCTATATATGCTACGGTACGCCCTACCTAGGTAGGTAGGGTGTATCGTGTATGTACGACAACCCTACATCACACACACTTGCAGTCTCTCAGAGTCGATCGTAAGTAGTCTAAAAATATTGAGGTAGATCGCCAGCAGTTCAAGTTTGAGCACCCCTGGCCTAGTCAATGCTAAAAAACTTTAGTTGACACCTTTAACAATATTTACACAAATAAAACGTTTCATTCAATATGGCGTCAAGCAATTATAATTCGGATAAAAGGCGGATACGGTTCAGACAGATCGACAGCTGATAACATTTTTGAACTAGAATCCAACATTTATAAAGTATAATAATTAATATACTTAAAAAATATTAGCAATATAAAATGGTCATCTTTAAATAATTAAGTTTATCATAAAACTTAAATATTCGTGAAAAGATCTCTTTGTGAAAAAATTTTAGACGATTTTCACTTATCAATCTTCGTAAGTAGTAATTACCTCATAAAATAAATTAATTGTGCATTGACTGGATATTAAGTTTAAGAATTTATCGTATAACTATTTTTGAACCTGCTTTATAAGAATGTTAAATTTTCCAATAAAATCCAATCGCAATAAGTTTGAAGATTTTCGGAGCATTAAGGTAAAACAATAAAAACTTCTTAAATATAAAACTATCAAGCTAAGTGATTCAATATAGCAAGGCAAAAGTTCGCAGAAGTTTCCAGTCATAAATATTAATAAGAAAATTGCAAAGTCAGTCATATTGTTAAAAGGGACAATCGTTTTCGTGGAAGAAGTGGAAAACGAAATGTTGCTGGAATATGAAAGTTTGAGAAACAAGTGTAAAATTGATAGGCCCCAGTTTGTACCGAAGTTTTTCACATAAATAAAAGGGAGGGATTTAATTTAGAAAATCAAAAATTTTTGAAGCGGAATACTTTTTTCTTAAGGGTTAGTAACGACATTGAAGTATAATACACTTACATAATAAATAAATTAAAAAATATTTCGTCGTCGTGGATGTGAAGAGAGCTAACCCACATTTTATTAAAAATGAGCTAACTGCAGCATCGCAATCAGAAAGAAAGATTTCATATTGTAGTGAAGAGATCTAAGTGAATATGTTGTTTCAAATGGTTTATATTCTAAAGTGTGAAAGGACGCTAAGTGAATTCACAATCCTTATTTTTTGGAGTGAAGTGATCTATGCCACTTACCACCACCGGGTACTGAACATATTTTTAGTGGTTTTATTTATTTATTATTTAGCGTATGGATAATTACAATACGATAAAAGTAGTATTTAGATAATAATTATGTTCAAATTGGAATTGTAACCTAAGTTAAATATTAAATATTAATGTCCAAATTGCACAGCCATTCAATTGCACCAGGAGAACACTCTGCAAAATCTTGAAGGTCTCCGCTGTATCTGCGGATTGGGCAATCCGCCATGATGTGTTGGATGGTCTGTCTCGGGGATCCACAATCACATTGTGGGCTTTCTGCATGACCCCATCGGTATAGAGAATCGGCACATTTGCCATGACCCGTGCGTATGCGATTTAATTTTGTCCATATAGGGCGTGGCAGGTTTGATCCAGTGAAGCCGATCGACGTACTTGTTATTTTGATGACGTCTGGCTCTGTTGTTGGCATCCATCTTTTCGTCCACTGCTCTTGCTTATTGTAGCTATCACCCATTCCCTGAACGGATTGGACAGGGGGTCGTCTGGACTTCAGTCTTTGTTGGTCTCGTGCGGCGTGCGGAATATACTGGTGAATTGGCAGACGATTATTTGCCATGATTTTCTGATATTCTCTGACAAGTGCTGCCGTTCGTCGAATATCTGGAGGTGCTATATTGCTCAGAATTGGAAGCCATCTTAGTGGAGTTGATTTAATAGTACCAGATATTACTCTCATAGTGTAATTTAGTTGAACATCAATCTTGTTGACATGAGCGCTATTTAGCCATACCGGTGCGCAGTATTCAGCGACAGAATACACCAGGGCCAGTGAGGAGGTTCGAAGTGTATCCGCAGTGGCACCCCATGTCGTTCCAGCAAGCTTTGTTATTATGTTGTTACGGGTTCTCACTTTGGCAGCTACATTCGTAAGATGGGTTTTGAACGTCAGTGATCTGTCGAGCGTTACACCCAGGTATTTAGGGTTGTTATTATGTTTCAAAGTCTCGCCATTGAAGGTGATGCTAAGGGTGTCATCCGAAAGCTGATTTGTGAGATGGAAGAGGCTTGTCTCAGTTTTGTTTGTATTAGGGCGAAGTCGCCATTGTTTAAAGTAGTCGCAGAGAACCCTTAAGTCTTCGGTAAGCGCCCTTTCTCCAACATCTTTGGCTTGGTTTTGAAATGCGATAGCCAGGTCATCTGCGTAAGCAAATTTTTTTGATTTTGTCTCTGGAAGATCGGCTGTGTAAATGTTAAATAATAGTGGAGCAAGCACTGAACCCTGTGGGAGGCCATTATTTAGCTTTCTGACATTGCTCTTTGTATCGTTTATATATACTTGAAACAGTCTGTTGGTTAGGAGGTTATTGATTAGTTGGCAGGTTTTCAGGCATGGTATGACCTTCATTAGCTTGTAGATCAGGCCTTCTCTCCACACAGTGTCATATGCAGCCGTCAGATCTATAAACGTTACGGCTGTTTTTTCCCGTTTTTCGAAACCGGCTTCAATAAATGTCGTTAAGGACAGTACTTGATCACTACAGCTACGCCCGCTTCTAAATCCGGCCTGTTCGACTGGTATCACAGTGTCGGTGATGGGGTATATCCTGTTATATATAAGTCGCTCTAGTAGTTTGTAGCAGCAACTGAGGAGGGCAATGAGTCGATAGTTTTCGGGTAGTTCACCGTCCTTTCCAGGTTTTAAAATTGCAATAACTTTGGTTCTTTTGAACTCTGGAGGTAGTACAGATGTCTTCATTATGTCACTAAAAAAGTCTTTGAGCCAGTGTCGCGTTTTTGGACCACAGTGAATTAGGAACTCAGGATACATTCCATCGAAACCTGCCGCTTTGCCTTTTTTAATTTGACTGAGGCCATCGTTTATTTCGTTCAGAGAGAAGCATCTTGAAAACTCTGAAGTAGGAGGAGTGTTTGTCTTAAGTTCTTTTAGAGCTTTTTTTGTAGACGTCGTATGGATTTTGTCAGAGGGGGCACGCGATACTTCAACTATTCTGTTAGCTATCCTTTTCGGATCGATACTGTTCTTGTTCAAGCGTTTCTCTCTAACGGCTCCACCTAGTCTACGTAGCAATCCCCATGCCTTCCGGCTAGATCGTGAAAAATCAATATGCTCTACTGTTGTTTTCCATTTATTAAGTCGGGTTGAGTCCAGAGAAGTCAGTAGACTATCAGCAATCTCAGGATCTTCGGAATCCACAAATTCTTCATACAGTCGTTGACTTTCTTCTGTCCAGCCTGGGATGTACTCCTTTCGAAAACCACGGGGTATATGTTTTTTGGCTATGGAAAGTACTAAGCTTACAAAGCGGTGGTAGTTCTTGGCTTTCGGATCAATAAAACGGATGCAATCGTCAAGTCTTTTGGTGTATTCCGGCCAGTTTGCTTTGTTAAAGTTCCAGCGTGGTCTTGGTGTGGATTCAACGATAGGAATATGTACTCCTATGTCCATTATGATGGGACGATGCTAGCTGTGAGGGAAGTTGTGGAGCACGGTTCGAGAACTAGGTAGTGGTCACATCTGTGAGTTGCTCGAAACCCAGCAAAGATCGGGGTTATATCCTTTGTGCCATCTTCTTGAGAAGATGGCACAAAGTGGTGAACAGAGCTATCAGACGCTTGAGCTTAGTCTGCAAATAACAACAGACAGATAAATTATTATGATACAGTCGATAAGTTACCTTATCGTTAGCTGGAGTTTGCTGTTTCAGCAAAGTCTCACGGTACTCAATATTGTAATAGGTATTAAATTTATTTTATTTGAAAGCTTCTTTGTCTGGGAGTAGTTATAATCGGAAGATAATTTATATACAATTTTTATGTAATTGAGCTTAGGTTTAAGACAAGCGGGTGTATGTGTACGATTCGTAGATAATAATAATATTTCTGATTGGGTACATTGATTTGAGTGTAAAATCTGTGCAAAGAAAAATTAATCAAATAAAAACGTATAATGTCGTATCACACGTGAAAATTAATGGTGAGATGGTTAATTCGAAAACGAATTTACTGACGACTAAACATGAAATTGAGACAGGTAAGTTATTTATCTAATAATAATATATACGTTTATTTAAATCGGTAGTTTTACAATAAATAGTGTTTCAAGAAAATAGTAAAAAATAGTTAAAAGTAAATAAAATAGCGTTTCAATAGAATTTTCATAATTTAAAGTTAATTTAAGTTAATTTAAAGATAAACTGACGAGTTTTATTATTTATTTTTTATACAAATTTGTTAGCTATACAAATAAAAATTTGTAATATTTTTAAAGTTTATTGGCAATGCTAATATAATATGATTAAACAGCGGTATAGTTCGATGTAAAAATAACATTATTTTGAATGTAAACTTCACTTATGTGCACTTATCAATTGTTTTGTTTTTAGGTGACTCAAGCGAAGAAGATCCTTTTGCTAGTTCTGACTTAGACTTGGATCCAATATACACACCTGGTAGTTCAACTGAAAGTACTTCAGACAGCAGTCAGTCTACAGTAGTGTCCTCTACACAGAACATCTCGGAGCCAGGTCCTTCTTCAGGCCAGATTATAAATAATAATACAGAAACCGTATCTACATCTACGTCACGTAAACGCAAAAGGCTTCCATCAACTTGGAAACGCAATCAACAAAGGAGCCTCAACTTTCTGGAAAGGAACATCTTTCTCAAAAAGGTAATATGTTAGAGAAAATCTGTTAAACCGTACTTGTAAATGTCACTATAGGTGTACAGAAAAAATTAGCCAGGAAAAGAGGCAAAAATTATTTGATGATTTTTACTCCATTCAAGATAAAAGAGGAAGATGGAGCTTTATCAGCAGTAGAATTACGAAAAAAATACCTAATCGGCGATATAAATCAAATAATGAAGATGCCGCCTCTAGACGCAAATACACTATGGTGTACAATTTAAGGTTGGATGACGAGAACATCCAAGTATGTAAAAAGTTTTTTCTGGGTACATTTGATATATCTGGAAAAAAAGTTGAAACGGCATTAAAAAAGTCAAAGTCGTCAGGTATCATAGAGGAGGACAAGAGAGGTCGAAAAGTTCCCCCTAACAAAATCCCAGATAATCAAAAGGAGGTAGTACGTAATCACATCAAATCACTACCGGTGATTGATTCTCACTATTGTCGAAGTTCAACCAAGAGGAAATACTTCATATCATCTTGGTGCTACGCTACAGCCCTTAGAGGGCCTCGACCTTCTCAAGCTTTCTACGCCATTCTGTTCTGTCCCTTGCTTGCATTTTCCAGTTGCCGACTCCGATCTTCTCCGCATCTTGTGTTACCCCATCCATCCACCTCAGCTTTGGTCTACCCCGTCTTCTCATTCCCACGGGTTGTGCTGTTAGAATCTTTTTTATCATGTTCGATTCAGGGGCCCGGGCTACATGTCCTGCCCACTGCAGGCGGTTTCGCTTAATTATAGTGGTAATATCTTTACCACCAAACGTATGCTTGTAGATATTCTGCAGTTCAAAGTTATATCTACGCCTCCATATTCCGTTCTCACAGACCGCTCCGAATATCTTGCGTAGCACCTTTCTTTCAAAAATGGATAGAGCGGATTCATCTGTTTTCGTTAGCATCCATGCCTCTGATCCATATGTGAGAACGGGGACTATCAGTGTTCTATACAGCCTTACACAAGTTTTTTGAGACAGACGTTTGTTAGCTAAGTATTTTGATAGACACACCTTTTTACAATTTATTCGCCTTTTTAGTTCCTAAGATGTGTTATTATTGGGGTTAACCGATGTTCCTAGATATATGAACTCTCTGACTACTTCGAAGAGGAAATGCTTACCTTCTGGTTTATCTGAAAAACGACTTTACCAGGATTATTTAAAATACTGCGAAGAGTATTAGGAAGATTCAGTGTCGTGTTATATGTGCCTGACGGGTGGTACACGGTGGCAAGAACAGCTAAAGTAAATCACCCCCTATACGTCGTTATATGGGTATAAAAATATGGGTAGACCCATATATTTTGGTGGCTACTAGCATGTATAACCGTTTGCACTAATGATGGATTGTTTAATCCGAAAACGTTTTGCAATGTGTTTGTGATAGCCCGTTTGGGGCATTTTTATATACCTTTTATAAAGGATTTTAAACAAAATAAAGATTGTGCAAGTTTATACTCTAACGGAAAAAGCAACCGATGAGGTATAATAAATAAATACTTTTTACGGAGACCTTAAAAAAGCTATAGACAACAACAAAGAATCCATAATAATAAGAATGGGAGATATTAACGCCAAAATTGGAAGTAGGATTGAAGACTCTGTAAGCAAGATTGGAAATTTTGGATTTGGACCATCGTATAGTTAGAGCAAGACTACATATTAACATGAAAGGAGAGAAAAAAAGGATTAAAAAAAACAACAAGGATAGATGCCTTTAAACTAAGAAAAAATGAAGAGCAATTCCAAGAGGTCTTAGCGGATAAGTTCGAATCTGATCCTTCACATAATCAAGATCAAATTGACGAGATTAATAAAAACATAATAAAAAACCTTCTTGCAGCCGTACCACAGGTCGCAAAGAAAACAAGGACTAAAGAAGACAAAATAAGCAATGAAACTAAACAACTAATGATGGAAAGACGACAACTACTAGCGCAAAACAAACGCTGTACTCAAGAATACAGAACATAATAAAACAATTAAAAAAAAACTAAAACGCGACATACAAAAATGAAACGAAAAGTTAATAGAGTTAGTCATTAAAAACAACAAAGGCTTAAAATGGATAGATAGAAGATACGACGGTCAGCTGTCAACACTACCGTATAACTATCTATAAACTCTACACCACAGAGGAAATCTCTAGTATTATCAAAGAGCTTCATAACTAGAAATTTTCTGGACCAGACCTAGTTTCAATCTTCTGGATTAATAAGTTCTGGAGTGCTCATTAGTGCTTTTCAACACTAATTTATAGTGTTATTTCTAATTCTAAGAAAATATTGTCATTCATAACTCAGGGAACAACTTATTTATTACCAAAGGATCAAAATAATACCCAAGATCCAGCCAAGTACCGCCGAATTATTTGCCTTCCAACTCTGTATAAATTGGTCACATCCTGTGTAGCTCAGCGTATCTACCAACATTGCGCTCTAGACAATATCATAGAACCTCCACAGAAAGTACCTTTTTAAGACATATAATGACAGATTCAAAACTAAAATTCACCTCCAAATACCCGGTGAAAACAATATCGATACGGAAAATATCGCAATTAATCGCGGCCTATACCAAGGAGACTTGTTAAGTCCATCGTGGTTCTGTCTAGCGATAAACCCACTATCCCAGCATTAAACTCTACTGACTCAGGTTTTAGCATTAAAAACAACAATACTGTAGTACGAAGCTTATTCATCTGTTGTACATTTGAAACTAATGGCTTCACTCGAAATCACTTAGAACAAATGATAAAAACTGTAGAAACTTTTTCAAATAATATCAGTATGCACTTTGGGTTAGACAAATGTCGTGTTTTAAATAAAGTCAAAGGAAAGGTTCAGTCTGGAGGATTCGATATGCAAAATGGCCAAAACATCGAGGCTATGGGCGAAAATGACATGTATAAATATCTAGGAGTAAAGAAAGCGCAGAAAATTAACCTTGAACAAATGAAAATCTAATTACCATCAGATTTCATACGAAGCCAAGAAACTATTCAACATCTTACCAGAAGCTGCCATTTGCTGCAACTGAATATAAGGAATTGCATGACTCAGTAGGGAAGATTCTTCATCAAGAGATAGCTTTTAAACTGGGACTTCTACAAACAAACCATCTCCCATATTATCAATCCGTTCCTGAGAGTATGCTTGAGAATGACAACTACAAGCTATACTGAATTGTACTGTGCTCACGGATCAAATATATAATAGCATATCGATGGTATAGTGCACAGAAGTGGTAAGTACATTTTTGGCCATTTCGGGGTTAAGTGCACAGTAATTATTAGCTTAAGTTAAAGTATGTTGTGCACAAATGTGGTAGGTGTATCAATAATATTTTCAGAGATTCAAACTGTCTTTATGTGGTAAGTGCTGTAAGTCTGAATATATTGTAAATCACAATTGTGTTATGGATACTTATCCCATTTGTGATACTAAGAAATCCGTTTCTAGCGAGCACGACTGTGGTAAGTACACATATAGCTTTTGCTAGTATACAACTTGGCAACGCCACGCAAGTAAAAGTGACAACAGATTAATTCTTGTGTAGACGTTCTTAGGAAGCAAACATTGTAGTAGGTCAATCGAAGACATTTATTGTGATTTTGTATAAAAAAGAACGAAATTGATCATCAATCAAGACAATCCTGATATACCCGATCAAGACAGTAAACTTTTAGTTAGAGAACCTACTACTTGCTAAAGTTGCTTTGTAATTTATTTTTAAGCATGCGCGTGTGCCATATTGTGAAAATTATATTAAATTTCAACATTATTTGTAAAAATTGCCATTTTACACAGCATTTGGATTTTAATTTGTGAATTTTATTATATAGGTGAAAACACCGATGAAGTAGACTTTAGTGATGGTTCTCCGGATTTGCATAAACCAAGCGATAGCTCAGAGGAAAGCGATGAATCTGATAATATGGCCAATGCTAAGTTAAATGTGTGTAAAACTATAATAAAGTGTTGATCTCTAAGCTTTATTCTGTGGAGTGATGACTTTTTACAATTTTACCACTCATTATTTTTAATACAATATATTAATTGTGCTTGTTTATCTTTTAGAAAATCAAGAAATAGCTCAAGAAAACATAGAACCGCTCAAAAAGATTTGGCAAAAAAAGCGATGCCTATATTATCGAAACAGGAGAATATAAAAAAGTGCCGTCTGAGGGAAGAGGCTTACATAAATAGATCAGGGAAAGCTATTGGACAGAAGAGACCGGAAAATGTAGATTGCAGCAAGTGCAAGTATGAAACGGTACTATTAATTGTAATATAACAGGGCAATTCACGTTTTATTACTTTAGATTTAAATGTGCATATAGTTTCACTGAGGAGCAACGTATTGCTATATGTGCTGAGTACTGGGCTTTTGGAGACACGCAAAAACAGAAACAAATGTTGTCTTCACTGATAACAACCAGCGTAGTTGTACGTCGACGGACTCAAGCTACCAAACCAAAGCAACATTCTTACAAGTACCATTTAAAAACTTGTGGGGGAAAACTGATTCGAGTGTGTATGAAGTTTCTATGCAAGACATTAGCAATAAGTCACCGCATTATTGACGACTTACATACATTATTATCTGCCACAGGAAACTACATTGGCGTAGATGGAAGGACTGGTAAAAAACCTGGAAATAGTACATCTGACCATAGTATCGCTCAAGTTAAGGCACATATCGATTCTTTTCCCCGATATTGCCGTCGAGACACGAAAATGATTATACTTATCATCGGATTTAAACATTTGTATAATCCATCGTTTATATCAAGAACAAAATGTGGGTGCACCGGTGTCCTATTACGTGTATAAATCAATGTTTAATTCGTATGATCCTTAACTGACTTTTTATGCACCAAAGAAGGATCAGTGCGCTAAATACAATGTTTACCGTAGCAATTTTGATAAAACTGAACCAATGAAAGCCGAGTGGACGGCACATAAAGACCGGGAAAAATCTGCTATGGACATGAAAGCAGCGGATAAGACGAAAGCTATAAAAGACTCGGGACAGACATTTCGATCAGTATCGTTTGATCTCCAAAGTGTACTTAGTACACCGCATGCAGCAGAATCCCAAATATACTATAAGAGGAAATTAACTGCATATAACTTCACACTTTTCGAAAACCACAGTAAAGATGGATATTGCTTCGTTTGGGATGAGATCAACGGAAAAAAAGGAAGCAACGAAATTGGAACGTGTCTTTTAAAATATCTGTCAATGCTACCAGAGACGGTTACTCACTTTTCCTCTTTCTCCGATACCTGTGGAGGGCAAAACAGAAACAAACATGTCTCCGCAGCCATGTTGTATGCAGTGAATCACTTTAACCACCTAGAGACAATAGATTTCAAATTTATGGAATCAGGGCATTCCTACTTAGAAGCAGATGCTATACACGCAACTACTGAAGGAGCGCGGAACACACAAGAAAATTTATACAACTAGAAAATGGGCGTTAATTATATCTGGTGCAAGAATAAACCCTAGACCGTATATTGTTCAAAAATTGACATATGAAGAGATTTACGACCTACACTTTCTGTCAAAGGAAACGCTACACAATACTACCAAAAATACTGCAGGTGATTCCGTTAACTGGCTTAAAATTAAATGGTTCCGCTTTGTAAAGAAGAAACCCTACTCGATTCTTTACAAATATATACTTTCAGACGAACAATTTCTGGAAATCAATATCAATCAGAAGAGGAATGCACAGGTAAAAATAATAATTGTATGAGATTAATTCGTCTGTTGATAAAAAATAACTTTTTTCTTCACAGGTAAAACAATGTGAGTCAGTAACATTACAACACGCTTATCCAAACAAGCGTCCTATAAGTCAGGCTAAAAAAAGGACTTACTTTCATTGCTCAACAGTGGAATATAAAATGATTATACATCGTTTTATGAATCTTTACCCTGTTCTACGACAGCATTACGAGATGCTAATACAGATTTTGAATAAATTCAAAATTTAATAAAGTGGCCGATTCAATTTTTATTTTTTTCTACCTAATGAGAATTGTGAATAAAGTTCAAAAATGAATAAAATTTTACAAAAACACTATTTACCGGTATTTTTTCCTATCAACCCTGTGAATGTTAATGCCAAAATGTGGTAAGTACCACTGAGTGAACGACTGGCGTGGTAAGTACATACTGCTTATTAAATATTTGGACATAGAAGAATATTGCTAATATTTTAAATGTGTTTATATTATTGTTTATGAAATTAAGTAACTATTGAATAATTAAAGAATGTTGCGGCAGCTCTAAACTTATTAACGCATTTCCTACACAACATCAAACTTTCAAATCGTTCTCCTGGAAAATTACTATTATTGTACTTACCACTTCTGTGCACTATACCATCGATATAATAGACCAAACCTCGTGCTATTTAATAAACTAACAAGACAAACAATACTATTGTACTAATCGATGTGGCGATACCTAACAACAATAATCTGCGTGTTAATTACAACGAAAGATCGCTAAGTATAGAGATCTGGAAATACGAATAAGGAGACAATGAAGAATGGAAAGTATCCAGACGATACCTATTATTCTTTCTACCACTGGAGTCATTTTAAAAAACCTCGAAAACATAAAAAAGCTGGGTCTAAATGAACATCTATATAAGATCATGCAGAAAGCTGTGCTACTGTCGACGTCCAGATGCGTGCGAAAATTTTTGGAAGATACACCGACGTACCAAGTCACCTAGGACTCGATTACATGGAAACAGTCCCACCAGAGCTCAATCCTTTTGATACTGTAGGTATCTGGGTGAGTGAATTTTTCCCTTAAAGGGAGATTGAGCCGTATGGCTAAGTCTGGATAGTAATAGTAATAATCTTATTCCATTGATTTTATTTTGTAACACAACTGTTACAAAATTATCACAAAAATGTGTCTGCTGTAAAAGAGTAATTATTTCGTAGAATTGTTGGCTATATGTACGCAATTAGAAAAAAATCATCAAGAAAATAGCGGACGTAACTCATAAATTTCATTCTGATAAAATTTTCGCTTGGCAAACATTCACAATTTTTCACCTACAGCTTTTTGTTAAACAAGGTAACAGGCAGAAGATAGATGGGCAAATTTAAAGGCCTGTTTATTTTGTAAAAATATAAGCGCAACTTCATTCACGAGTTCATATCAATCATAAATTTTCTGGCAACTAAAAACGCCGTTTCCTTGTATTTCCAAAGCGCGGGTAATACCGCCTAAGATGAATGAGAACGAAGAATTTGGGATGTTAGTTTTAGTATAAAATAGATTAAAATTTAATATTTATACGGAATGTCCCGTGTACCTAAAATAAATTAAGTATATACGGGAAGAAAAATCCAAGAGATAGAGTGAATATTTAGGCATCTTATTACCGTTTTACCGTGAATATGGTACGAGGTAAAATGAAAATAAGCTTAAAGAAGAAGAGGTATAAGATGATTAAAAAGAAGAACAAGTCAAAACCATGGATGAAACCATCAGATGTAGATAGTTTTCAGCAATGTATTTAGGACATACTTAGTAGTCCTGAAAAAGAAAATAATATAAACGACTTAAACACTAAATTAACAATTTAATTACACATACGCAATTTAATTACACAACACTTTATACACTTTTGCCACACGCTTAACTCTCAATAAAATTTTGAAGTATTTCCGCATCAGTTGCGTACAATTTATATATATATATATATTTAATCAATATAATTTTAAAATTTCCAATATAATGATGATTACATTTTTCTGATTATTACACCATATTGACGCCTATGAAAGATCGAACAATTCCGTATGGGTTTCGTATTACTAACTGTGTTAGAAAAATTTGAACTGTAAGGTTGATGTTCTGGAAATTTTAAATACAAGTGACGTCACTTTGTATTAATCGTGACGTGCAAGTGTTTTACTTTGAAAAAGGGTATACATTTAATATTGCGTCCATCTCCAAAATTAAAAATGGTTCAAAAAATATTTGTTATTTATTTTGACTATCAAAATGGGGGTATCAAAATAGGGTTGCAGTATAATTCATGGCTTATTTTGTTATTAGTATAAAAATACAATACAATACACTGCAACATATTTCAATATAATAATACAATGAAAATTAAAATGCAATATTCATAATTACTTACACATATGTTTAATTTACCATATGTATAATACATGATAATAATTAAAAAATAATAATATTAATAATATTAAATATATTTACAAAAGGAACATTTTTATTCTCGAGAGAGAAAATATATCTTCTGTCTCTCTCTTACCTATATCTTACATATGTAATGATTTTGCCGATTCACTCAATATATACGAATACACAAATTTCCAACGTCGAACGCGCGTATAGAAGTATAACTTCAAAAAATGTTTGTGGAAGATAAAAATAAAAAACCAACAACTGGATTATGTTGTAAATTTTCATTTTATTTTAAAATTTAGCATTTTTGCGTATATTACATATATTTAATAAGATTAACGTGGGTTTTTAAATATTTCAAAAATAAAAAAGGAAATTCATATTGGGATTCGAACTCATATACACCAGCGTATAAACCAAACACGTAAGAAATTTGCCAACTAGACATGACACTAACATATTTCAAAATTGACAGTTCTCGGTCATACAGTGATTTATTTTAATTAATATTTTGAAATACAAAAGCCTAAATTAATTTTTACATTTTACATTAACATTTTAATAATAATATTATTTTATAAATATATATATATATATATATATAATTATTATATATATATATATATAATATATATATATAATATTATATATATATATATATATATATATATATAATATATATATATATATGATTTCAGTTGTTTTCCGGGTTTGACTCCGCTTTAAATAGTAGAAAACAACTGAAATCACATATAGCTCTCGCGGAAATTATATCTTCTTCTTCTTCAGATGCAAATCCACTAATGGATGTTAGCGATCACATTTTCCATTAACTCTCTATTTCTTGCAATATGTATCAGAGATTGTATGTCGTTAATCCCTGTCCATTGCCTTATGTTTCGGAGCCAGGACATTTTCTTGCGTCCCATTCCTCTCTTGCCTTCAATTTTACCCTCGATTATAAGTTGGAGGAACTGGTATTTTTCATTTCGCATGATGTGACCTAGATACGCCGTTTTCCTTTTCTTGATGGTTTCGAAAAGTTGGCGTTCTTGGTTTATTCTTTTAAGGACATCTATATTTGTGATTTTCGCTGTCCATGGTATTTTTAGGATACGGCGATAAAGCCACATTTCGAAAGCTTCCAATCTGTTTATATCCCTCGTTTTGAGTGTCCAGCCCTCTACGCCATATAGCAGCACTGACCATACGTAGCACTTAGTAAACCTTAGTCTCAGTTGAAGATCGAACTCAGAACAAGTCAGTACCTTCTTGAATTTTACGAAAGCTTGTCGAGCTTGCTCAATGCGACATTTTACTTCCCTGTCCGATGCCCAGTCTTCAAAAAGCCACGATCCCAGGTATTTAAATTTACTCACTCTTTCTATGGATTTACTATTCAGTGTTATGGTGGAGTTTTCAAATGCATCCAAGTTTCTGGAGATGATCATGAATTTGGTCTTTTTGGTATTAATCTCTAGTCCCATTCGCTCACTGTATTCTCCGATATATTTTATATTAATATATATAAAATAAATATAATATATAAAAATAATCGGAAACTTTATATATATATATATATATATATAATATATATATATATATATATATATATACGATAAAAGGAGTACGACCGTCAATC